TATATATATATATATATATATATATATATATATATTTTTTTTTTTGAATTTTATCAAATATCCAAAATCTTTTTCTTTAAATAATGTAACGACTGATCATATGTATACAAATATTTTAAATTAACTCAAATATTTTCAATTGGATTAATATTAAAAGAATGAGTATATACTATAGTATACTATAATAAATAATGTATATTATAGTAAATAATAAAATATTATGTGATAAAATAATAAAATATTATATAAATTATAAATATAAATATGTATAAAATGTATAAAATGAAATATATTAATGATTAATAAAATTTGCAATTAAATTTTGTTTATGCCTTTAAATTAAAACACGAAAAATTTTGGAAATTATAAATGTAACTAATTTTAATTTTTTAGGAGCTATAATAAAACAAATTGCCTCTTATAATAGATTATGTTAAAATCTGAATTTGATCATAAATTTTATAACAGTCCTCGAATATTTAAAAAATTTTTATTATTTTCATTAATTTTATAAATTTTATAAATTTTTCTTTAGAAATTCACAATAATTTAATTTTTTAGCAAATAATTTTCTTTTTAATATAAAATTATTATTATATAATATATTTAATATATATTGTATATTATTTCTATATAAAAATAATTTTGAATGAAACAATTTAAATTGAATTTAATATAGATTAAAGAAAATTATGATTTCATAAAAATTCTTAATTTGCTGAATATTATTTTGATTAAATTTGATAAAACTTTAAATTAATATGTACATATATTTAATGAATGTAGAAATTGATATTTTAATATATATCGATAGAAAATATTAAATATGTAAATATGTTGAATAATAACTGCGTTTCCATAGTATATGAATTTGTTAAAAAATGTTATTTATATTAATTATAATCATTGTTCAAAGGATTTAATTCTTTTATTAAAAAAAAAAAAGAAATGAAAATAATTAACAAAGGATTCAAAAAAAATGTCTATAAATGTTAAAATATTTAATTCAAAAAAATTATGAAGTTAAAAAAATATCAATAAATATATATTCATAAAAATTTGAAAAAAAAAATAAAAAATTGAAACAATTATTTCGAACAAAATAAACGCTTAACAAAATTGTAATTATGAAACGAATAAAATGTTTTTTCAAAAGGACAGTTCTTATTTAAACAAAATAAAAAAAAAAGATTTTAATTATATTAAAAAAATTCTTTCAAAAACGAAATCTTTTTATATAAGAAAGACATTTGTATATGAAAAAATAGAAAATCTCTAACTTCTTTTTCTTTTTGCTAAATGGAATAATATTTGCAAATCTTATATTTGATAGGTAATCTTGTAATTGAATTTTGCTTCAATAAATCAATTCAAAAAAAGGATCAGGTAAAAAAATTAGTGTTTTGTAAGATTTAATTTATTTTAACAGTAATGAGATAAAAACAAATATAGAAAATATAATCAATATTATAAATCAATATTATACTTATTATTAAATGATATAAATTTTCAAAATAGATTTTAAAATAAAAAAATAATAAAATATAAAACATTTATAACGCTTATCAAATTCTAAAAAATAAAATAATTTATATTCTATTGTAAAATATTATATTATATTGTATAAAATTTTATTTATATTATAAAATTAATATATAGAATATTATATATATCTATACATTCTAATACATTCAATACTTAATTACTTTTCAATAATTATTAAACTGTTTAAAGAGATAATAAATAAAATTAATTAAACAAGAATATAAAAAATAATGAAAAAAATATAAATTTTATGAAATATAACGTAAATATTTTTAAAATTCAAACTTTTTGTATTCTTTCCCAATTATTTTTTAATTGTAACATTTTAAACAATTCTCTAATTTTTTTTAATAAAACACTATTCTCTATATCGTTAAATATTTCGCGTAATTTATTCTTATCCATCCATTTCATAATTCACGAATATCCAAGATTTCAGCGAAAACAGAAGAAAGCATCGTTAAAAATAAAACAGTGAAGTATACATAGTAGGTGTAGTTATTTCAATAAAGACAAAAGAAAAATCAAGCAAAATAAAATCATACAATAAGAAAAAGAAAAAAACGAAAAAAAATGAACGAAACAAAAAATATGAAATATTCACGAATTCGATCATCAATTTTATCAAGAAAAATATACAACTACAATTGAGATAATTTCGGGAAGCACGGATGTGATAGATAAAATCTATAATGTCAATACTAGCTTTATAGAGTGCGGTTTTACCGAGAAATTTATCTTTACGCATTGTTTAATCTACGATTTGAATCATTTCGATTTGTACGCGGACAATTTTCTACCACTCAATGTCAGATCTGCTTACCTCAACTGGGGATCAAGGAGAAAAAAAGAGAGTAGGAGGAAACCGCCAAAAAGTTGTCAGCAAGCAGACAAAGAAGTTGTGTCTATATCATTGTATGTCTTTAAACGGTGAGATTATCATTGTTCCCGATATTTATCTACCAGTTTTTCGTCGTATTCCCTTTCCTGTAAAAAGGATCTCCCTTTTTCGTACATCTCTTTCGTTCATCTCTTTACCGCCTTTCTAGTACCACAAAAAACGAAATTCCAGGGCGTAGCCGCATTTTTCAAATTGACAAATAAAACGGACAATGAAAAGTTTTCTGAAGCTTATTCGTCGAGCAGAATAAGTCTATTTAACCACCGGTAAAACCTTTTTTGATTCCTTTCGTCTCGTCTTGTATGCCGATAGACCATCCTCGAGTTTCTTTCAGGAAAATCGATGTAAATCTGATGTTCGTATCCTATTTTTGACACGCATTTTTAAACAAATTATAATCTGTTACATAATGAATTATCCATTTGAATATGAATATAATTATAATCGAATATAATTATAAGATCGTGTTTCGTATTTATATTAATGTTTTGATAAATTGATAAATTCATAACGAAAATAAGTTAAGAAACTAGAGTATATTATAAATCTTTTTTTTTTTTCAAATATTGTAATATCTTCAATTTTTTATCAATAATATATAATTTTCCAAACATGACATAACTTGGATATTATCTATAAGTATAAAATATAAGAAAGTTCAAAAGTAATCAGAGAATTTAGAAGCAACTACTCAGTGTAAGTCACATTTTGTAAAAATAATTACATTAAAAAATCTCTTTATTGTTCACATTTTCTGTTAACAAATCAATTATTATTTCACTTTATAATATTAATTTATCAATTGATAATTTAAATAATAAAAAAATTCTTAAACATTTTTAAATAATATGATTTACATTAATTGGCTTTCGAATCCTTCAATTATGAAATAAAAATATTAAAAATAAAATTCTTGAAAAAATATTATTTATATTTATATAATTAGCAAAATATTATTTATGTAATATTATCTATATTGATGATTATGATTATATGATGATAATATTATAATATGAAAAATGAGAAAAAGCTTAATCTATCTATTTTTTCTATTTCAAAAAATTTTAATATTAATTAATATTCTCGATATATTATTGAATTTAATAAATGAATCTGAAATAAATATATGAATATCTTTATTCTATATTACATTAGTAATAATGTACATATGTTACCATTTTTTTTTATCATATTTCTGATATAGTCTTTTAATTTATAATATATATTTTAATTTATTTTAGCTGGAATATTGAAAAATTTTTATGAAACGAGAAATGTCTTATATTAATTTTTTAAAGATCAAAATAACTTCGAAGTTGATGTTTTACATAATACGAGTTTTATTATTATTTAACCAAATGAAAATGTTTTTATCACAATTAAATAATACAACTTGAAAATTAAAACACGAAAGTAGTATACAATGTGACTAAAATATATTTAGAAAATATTCAAACTTACAAACTTTACAAAATAAAAATTTTAAACTATAAATATGTGGTCAATTTATCAAAAACAAATAGAATATGATTCAATAAATGAAAAAAATTTGTTCTTTAATCTATTTTAAAGATAAATGACAAGTAATTTATCAATATATAAAATATATCTACATTTCTATATTGAATTATAATAAAATTTTTGTATTATTTTGAATAATTGTGAACAATAAAAGAGCGATAAGAAATATATATATATTTATATATATTTTTTTCTATGTTCCTATGAATATGTATATATATATATATATATATATGTTTTATTGAAATCTGAATATATCTACTCACCACATTGACGAAATCCTGAAACGTCACCGCTTCAACACGTGATTCTTTTGCCCTAGTAAGAAGTATATCTCGTTTATTTGGTGGTATTTCAGCTTTCCATTCGGGATTTTTTAAAGCTGCTAAAAAATCCTCCACCGGTATCTCGCCAAAACCTTCGGGATCAAACTAAAGAAAAAATTCAGTCATGTTAACATATCGTGTAAGCTGATTTCCAAATAATAAATGTCGAATAATTCATAGACATACCTTATCAAATAGCATTCGCCATTTCTGTAACCAAATAAAAGAAATGGAAATATAAATTTTGATTTAATACGTTTTTAAATTCTCTTTAAATTTTTAAGAATATTAAAAAATTTAAATATATTTGTTAATGTTATTAAATGAAACATAATTCATTCGTTGCGTAAAAATTATATTAAAAATTTTTTTATATCTAATATGTAAATGTATTTAAATTTTCTAAAGATATTATAAATATTTTTCTAAAGATATTATAAATATAAACAACAAAATTATTTAGAAATATATATATTTTTTTATTACAAATTTTTAATAATATAAAAATTTTAAATATAAATAAAATAAAAATTAATTAAATATTAAATTATCATTTATCATCTTTCAAATTTATCTACTTTACAAATCATCAATTTTATTCATTACAAATTAAAAATTACAGAAATAATAAAATTACAGAATTTTGTTGTTTTTTTAAATATAATTTAATAAAAATATATGAAGATCATATAAAATATATATATATATATATATATAATTTATATAATCTATTTTAATTTGGTTAATTAATAACATTTAATTAATAATTATAAAAACAATTTGTATAAGATATTTATATAATATTCTATATAATATTCTAATGAGATCAAATTATAATTTCAAAATGATAAATGATGAAATGAAATTTTTTGTTTTTTTTTTTAAACTTATTTAATCATATATCATGTCTCTTAAAGAACAACATGTCTTTAAAGGATGTCAAGAAAATAAATTATAAAAATAGGATCATCTTTATTTAATAAGACTTATATATTATTTTATATAAAAAGTAAGTTTTCTGTCGATATTATGAAACTACAAAATATTTTAATTAATTTTACAAAATTTAACATATAAAAATAAAAAGACACAAAATGATATAAATATGCATATATGTATTTTTTATATGTTAAATTTTATATAATTAAAACTAAAACATCTTTCAAATAAATAATCTTAAGATATTATTTTAACTTTCTTTTGTAAGAATAAATAAACACATGAGTTAATATAAAATATTATAAAATATGTTCTAACATTATAAAATATTATAATATTATATATTATAAAATATTAGAACATACATCATTTAAAATTTCTGTTTGAAAAAAAAGGGATAACCTCCAAATTTTAAAATGTTATTTTTAAAATTCATACATATTTCATGTAGAAATTTTATTTTAAAGCTATGGCTATGGCTAAGTTACATAACACACATCTAGTTGGAAAAAGAAATAACTATTAAGTACAAAACTGAAAAGATAAATACATAAGCTTTTTAGAAATAAATCAAAAATTCACAAATTTAAAAAAGAAATTAAAAAAAATAAATATAATTAATATGAAAACAAATTTTTCTACAAACACAAATATTTAATCTTCAATCTCTAAAAATCAAATAATAAATCAATTTTAGTTATACTATATTAAATCTAAAATAATATTAAATTTTAAAATTTATTGAAAAGCAAAAATGTTTTTTTATTTTTAAATTTTTCTATTTTCCTATTATTTTATATTATTTTTATAAATTTTTTTCATAATTGCAACTAAGATTATTAGATATTTTTATTTTAATATATAAAAACAAATATGAATCACTAATTGCTTTAAGTATATATTAAAGAATAAAATATTAAAGAATAAATAAAATTTTATATAAATAATATGTCTAATTTTTATTTAAATATTATACTATAATTTTTATATAGATATTATACACTAAATGATCAAATTATTATTATATTATAAATTATCATTCTTTTAAATTTTCAAAAATTCAAGCAAAAAATCTTAAAATGAATATAAAATTCATTATGAATTTAATATGTATAAGTTAAATATTTATAATTTTTAAAGATATATTCAATACAATATCTCATATTATACTATTAATTTTTTTTTATTTTTTATAATTTTTATATTACTATTAATTTTAATAATTTTTGTAAATAAAACTAAAAAGATATAAATTTAAATTTATAAAAAACCAATATTAATTTGATTTGTTGTAAATAAAAAAAATTAATAACGATTGCAAATGTAATAAAAATATGCATCTTGCTATATATCAAAAGAATAATTGTTTAGTACGTATCAAACTTAATATGTATTAGAAATATATGTTTTATCAATATAAAAGTTTTAATATTACCAAAAATATAATGTTACTATAATGTTATATGTATATAATTTTTTTAATAATAATAATTAATTACGTATTATAAGTTTTTTTAAAAAGCATCCTTTAAAATAATATAAGCAATAATGCTTTTCTCACATACATCATTGAGAAGCTCCCGTCTGTATTCGGATTCATCAATATCAATTTCGGAAGCAAGATCGGTATGATCGGTAACATAGCCATCATAGTGTACGCTGTTCGCTTCGCTACGTGCATATTCTTCCTCCTCCTCGACAGTACCGGCGATGGTCGGTATCGAAGCACCGTTTGCCAGTAGCATTACCACGCGTGGCACGAGGTCACCGGATAAATCTCCTCATTCCACCCTCTTTCGTCTGTTTCCTAAAGTACAAACACATCATTGTAATCCTATCGATGTACATTCTGTATGATGCTTGACGTGTCCATGCATACAAATTTCTACTACATTATTACTAACAGCTCAGTCTATTTAATACGATAATATTTAAAATAATGTAAGCTTAAAGAATTTTTAATTGTTACTTTTTTTTCGTAGATAAATCGAGACTTATATAATGAATTGTTATATCTTGTAAAAATATTTTCATAAATTTTATAATTGTTTATTTAAAATAATTATAATAATTTGTAATAAACGAAAGTATCAATTGATTATTTTCATAATGTTTAAATGTTGTCTTTGAAATTGTCTGAACAAATACGTAACGAACTATGCACCATAATACATTTCATGCGACGGTATCGTTTCCATGGCAATGCATCGTCGATAGGTCTGACTATATATTATCTATCTACTGTATCTTACTATTATTCATGAAGTGCATTCACGTCTATCTAATCAAAATTTTTAATCAAATATCGATTTCTTATCTTATCTTTATATGATATAAAAAACAAATCTCAAATTTAAAAAAATTGAAATAAATTGAATATAAATTGAAAAATTGAATATTTTAAATTATGTCTTGTTAAAAATTTCAATAATTTTAAAATAAGTAACAAAAATTTATTTTACAAAAAAATCCTTTCTCAATAAAATTTTAGAACGAAAAATTTTAGAATGAAAAAATTATTCTTTTATCGTATCTTTTTTTTTTCATATTCTTCATAATAATAACTAATAAGTGAATAATAGTTAATAATATTTAATTAAACATTAATAATTATTATTCATGTAATTGTATATGATAGAACTAAGTAAATAATTTAAAAGATTTTAGGTACTAAAACAATTTAATAGACAATATAATAAATTTAGTTTACAAAAATGTCCATTGTTTATTTATTAAGTTATTTATTTAAATAATTTAATTTTATTTAAATGAATTTTATTTAAATTTTATTTAAATGAAGTGAGACGAAAATAAAGTTTCATTTCATTTAGTGCAAAATTAAAATGTTTATAATTTAATAAATAAGTTTCAAGAGATATTTTTGCATTTTTATTTTTTTATAAATTTTATGATTATTTTAGTTCCTAGAATTATTTTTTAATTTTTCTACTAATTGTTTTGTTCAAACAAATTTATTTTATAAATTTTTCAAATATTTTGAATCTATTATTTTTTTTTTCTTATGCATTATCATTTACATTCCAAATATTTAATATATGATTAACTAAATTCAAAACATATAAATGAAATATATATATAGTATGTGTACCTATATAGATATCTTTTATGTATTATAAAATGAATAAAATAGAAATAATCGTAAAATATAATATGATAATATGATAATAATATGATAATAATTATATAATATGATAATATTTTATAATATTTTATATTTAATTATATTTAATTATATTTAATAATAATATATTAATTATATTTTATAATCTTTTATAATGATCTGTAAAAGAAAAAAATGAAGAATAATATTTATTATTCTATAACATTTTATTTCAAAAATATGTCAAATTATAAGCAACTATAAATTATCTTAAACTTCTTTTGTAATCTCTGAAATATATAATAAGTAGAAATATATAATAAGTAGTAAAATATTTTTATTATAATAAATTCTAATTAACTTTTACCAATTTATTTAGAATTATTTATTTGAAATATTTAAAAAATAGAAAGTAAAAACAAAAAATATTACATTTTTACAATTATATATATATAATTATAAAATATTATATAATATATTATATTATAATTTATATTTTTTATAATTTATATAATAAATAAATAAAAACAATAATTAATTAATAAAAACCAAGTTTTTGTTACAGATAGATAGATCAATAATTACTTAATAAAATTATATCAGTTTTTTATCTAAGATTTAATATGATAGGTAAACCTATAATCGCAATGCAACTGAAATTTTCACACGTCTGTTCATACAACCCCTCTAGTCACTTTCCCTTTCCCCAATCCCTTTCCCTTAATCTCATCCCTTCCCCAACTTCTTTGCATCTACGTTGATTCGTTACTCTCCGTTTTGGCACGACGTCACTGAAACCTATTCCCCTATTGCACTGTCATTGTACCAACCCCACAAAGTCACCCCCTATTCCTGACGCATACTTGTTCCGTCTCTTTTCCATTCTATTTACCTGTCCTTCTTCTACGCCATCTTCTAAGCGCAATTACGTCTCATGCACGTCGACCCGTTTGCACGAAATACTTTTAAGGTCGTTGACCTTGAAGAATGTTCGATGACATATCGTCATGGACGATGCTTCTTACATATATCTCGGTATCTTCTTACGTCCAGCCCTACTTGGCATTAGATTACTTCGAATCCTTTTATGCTGCATGGTTCGTCTACCTTCGTTCATTTACCTTGTATTGAATGCATTTACCTTGTACTCTATGCATTTATTTAGCACTAATGATACGAGTTTGTATCATAATAACACGAATTAACTAATTCATTATTATATGGGTTCGGACAGTTAGCAATATTTTGATATCTTTATCGCGGAAAGTTTTAAAATGTTCTTATGGAGAAAAAACAGGTTATTTATGACATGCTAATATATATTTTGTTTTAGGATATAAATGTATATACTTTGATTGTTAACCTTTTACATGACTTTTACGACTATCTTGGTTATGTAGTATAGTTGTACTTTCACTGTTTCGTTCGGAGAATGATTCACACTTAATAATTCATAATATACACAAATTCTAATAATAGACTTTATATTATAAAGGATGAAATAAGTATTTTAATATTCGATTCGAATAGTAAATTTGAATAGTAGTTATTTACATAATGAATTATTTATAATAATTAAAAATTGTTAATATAATTATTTATATATTTATTCATATATATTATAAGAAATAAATTGCTTTTTATATATTTTATATATATAAATTCCTATTTTTAATAATTAAAAAATTTATATTAAAATTTTTATACTATAATTTTTTCTAAAAAGAAAAACAATAATATTTACCTTCTATAATTTGAATATAATGATACTGAAGTAGTAATCCATAGATGAGTATTCAACAAAGTAACGAAGATATTAAATACGAACAATATTAGCCATAACACCATAATCTTATAAAAACATAGATTCACAATATTCACATTTTAACAAAATCACTTATAGAGATACACCATTATAGAAGCACAAATAGATTTTATATTTTAAAAAGATCTTATCACAAATATCATAGTAATTATATTATTATATACACTATATTTAACTATTTTGAAAAAATGACTTTTGAATTTAATTTACTTTTTACGGCGTGATAGCAAAAGTATATTTTTATTTTCTGTTTTGGCGCCACATGAGTAGTCAATCAAGAATACAAAACATCGATAAAACAGTTTCAAAATCGATTAAAGATCGTCAAAAATAGAAAACAAGTTCAAAATATTCTTATGTCACAATTCTTTTTGAACATAAATCTATAAAAATTGCACTAAACAATTCACGATGCATAGATTTATTTTCTTGTGTCAACAGTTAGCTCAAATAAATAATTAACTTTTTCACTAATGTGCGAAATATACAATTTGAAATAGAACATGGCGATTGGACGGTAATTTTAACACAAAGCGTATAGAGAGGAACAATGTTAATACAATAATATTGTTATAATTAGTGAATTATGATTGTGACTGCAATGCGCAAAAGAAATCATAAATTGAATCCCAATCGGCACACGATGTTACGTTAATACGAAGACGATTGTGCAGTACGTGCGATGTAGTGGCGGTGCCACAAGTAACTGCGGTAACGTGCGCAAAGCACGTTCGATCGATAATACAGGTTGCCGCGGAACTGCAATAGCCAATAGCAGTCAGATCATATAAGGACACATGCGAGGAACACGTGGAAACTGGAAATGCTGTCGCGGTTTAATTTATTGACAATATAACCGATGTTGTCGGCGGGAAACGCGTCACACTACTGACGAGTACTTTACCACCCTCACAGATTCCCCTTTCCTCCACCCTCTTTTTCCACCCTCCCCCCCGATTCATTTCACCCCAGACTCGTTCGTTCAACCCCAACGTTCAAGAATATGCTGTAGATGCTTGTATATTATTGGCACGATACAAATTAATATCTTTTCAACAGAAAAAATTCTGAAAGTCCTTGTTATTTCATTCTATATAATTAAAATTAATGTGGATCATAACCAGTGTTTTTTGTAAAACGTTCTTTATAACGACATTATATAATATTATTAATATAAAAGTAATCATTTAATCATCATTAAATATCTTCATATTATTATTAATCGATCTAAGAAATTAAATTTACAATATAAAAATTAATAGTGAATTGTTTGAAAGTTATAAAATACTATTAAACTATCTTAATAAATCCAAGTAAAGTGCTGTTAAAATTTTATGTCAACAAATAAATATTATAATAATATATCTTGTAAATGTAGAATTTTAATTGAAATAATTAAAAAATCTGTAAGAAATATAAATATTATTGAAAAAAATGTAAATTCAAAACGTGAAAAGAAAAACTAGATTTAATAAATGTATATGTATTATTATATTATATATTATTTAATACATATTAATTTCTTATATTGAAAAAATATTTATAAAAATTTATGTTTATTATAAATGTTTATTAAAATTATAAAAATTTTCAAATATTTATAAAATATAATATTTTATATATAAAATGAGTTATAAAATTTGGTTAAAATAATAAATAATAAAAATAAAATAATAAAAATAAAATTATTATTAATTTTGCTTAATTTTACTTATATCATACAGTTTATCTAAATTTATCAAAATATAAAAAATTAAAATAATTATATTAAATAAAATTTATTGTAACTTGAAATTTTCTTCTAATATATCATAAAATATTATTTTTAGTATTTATTTTACATAAGAATAAATAGGTAATTATAAAATATATTTTAGTTATAACGTTATTTAAATTTTTTTATCTGTCAGATGGCGCTATATATGTAGTTGTCTGCATTTCGCTTTCAACGTTGACAATTATGGAGAAAAAAATTAGGTTATATTAGGTTAGTTTTTAGTTATTCATTTAAAATAAAATATAAATTTGGTATTAATTTTCCAATGTAACATGATATGAAACGGACGCGAATGCAGAACGGAGACATAGAAACCATGTCCTATTTACGTGACTGGAGACAAGCGTTACGTGCACCTCATGTCTACAGAGTTGCTAATAGTACTTTTCGCATTCAGAGTCAATATTTAGCTTTAATTTTTTTATTATTGTCTGTTCCTTTATTCTTACTTGGATTTCCTTTATTACGCGGAGTTGTACATCATTCGTCAACGAATCATTTTTTAACACAATGCAAATATTATAAGTATAATAAGACATACCCTTTATCTGCTCCAGTCAAGACATCTAAGGGTATTACTTATCGTATAGCAATAGTAAGTGATCTTGATCATGATTCCAAAAGTTCAGATAAAAAAGATACATGGCACAGTATTATGAAAAGTGGAAGTCTTTTTTGGAATCCTAGCACAAATTTTCTTTCCATTGTTTGGGATGACAGAAACCAAATGTTAACATCGTCTTTAACTATGAAAGGACGTGGTATGGAATTGTCTGAACTAGTTATCTTCGATGGACATTTATTATCTTTTGATGATCGTACAGGAGTTATATATTTTATTGAAGGAGAAGAAGTTTATCCTTGGGTTATTTTAATGGATGGTAATGGCAAAAGTTCAAAAGGTAAAATTTATTATATTTATTAATTTTCCTATTATCAATAATTATAAAATTTTATAATATTATATATTTAGTATTTTATAATATTATAAAATTTTGAATGAAATAAAGATAATAAATATTTTTAGGATTTAAATGTGAATGGGCAACTGTTAAAGATGAACATCTATATGTTGGTAGTATGGGTAAAGAATGGACTACTGCTTCTGGAGAATTTCAACATAACAATCCTCTTTGGATAAAAATAATATCTCCACGTGGTGAAATATACTCTTTAAATTGGATTTCAAATTATAAACGATTAAGACAAGCAATTGATATTGAATACCCAGGTATATAATTATATATTTTATATATTATAAATCTTTTATATATATATATATATTTAAATTTTAATTATAATTAATATATTTTATGTTTATTTTGTAGGCTACATGATTCATGAATCAGGAGCTTGGAGTGATATCCACAAAAGTTGGTTTTTTTTACCAAGAAGATGTTCTCATGATCAATATAATGAAACTAAAGATGAAACAATGAGTTGTAATATATTATTGACTGCAGATGAAAATTTTGTAGATATTAAGGTTTTTATCTATTTATATTTACTTATAAATATAATATTATTTATTGTATTTTACATATAGTTAAATTGAAAAATATAAAAATAAATATTATCTTATTTTTAGGTTACTAAAATTGGTAATTTAGTTCCAATTAGAGGTTTTTCAAGTTTCAAATTTTTACCTGGTTCACAAGATTCAATTATTATTGCCCTTAAAACTGAGGAATATCAAGGGCAGACTGCTACATACATTATGGCATTTACACTTAATGGAAATGTAATAATGCCTGAGGTTAAAATAATGGACAAAAAATTTGAAGGTTTAGAATTTATATGACATTCCACTTAAAGATATTATTAAATTTTGGAAATGTAAATAAATGTACAGGTTTTATAGTTCCATATTATTATTGAACACGAAGTAAAGAGACTATGTAAATTATTTCATATAGTTTTCCTCAAACAATAATATTGTCTTTCTAAATATAATTTTATTTAAAAAAAAATTGCATATCTAAATATATCTAAGTATATATATATTTACATATATATATCTAGATGCATATATATATGTATATATCTAAATATATCTAAGTATATTTACATATATATATCTAAATGCATAGATATATATATATATGTATATATCTAATAATAGATATATTTAAATATATTGCTTTATATATATCATTCATATGATGATTGTAAATATAATATGATTGTAAAAATAATATATCTACAAATATTTATGGAAATGATATTATCATTTATTATAGAAATATAAAAAAAAAATAATTGAATCGAATATTATATAGAAATTATAAAAAAGAAATTTCATGGTTTCTTTTATATATTGATCATTATATTATTTATAGTGGAGCAATATTCAAATTTATTTTATTTCATTCCATGTTTATATCCTTATCATTCTTTAAAATTATTTTAAATGAAATTTTTAATATTATAATATTTCTTCAGGATCGTAATATATGTAAACTAAAATCAATAATATCTATATATGAAAATGCGAAGTGGTGGCAGCAGCATTGCGATACATCGAGACTTTAGTCAATTCGTGGCATCGTAGATAGAAAGCTCTGTTTCGTACATGTCATATTCCAATTTTTTTTTTCCAAATATATATACATAAATATTTTTTTAACTTTATTTACTTATAATAGTGATAACATATAATTTTCAATAATTATTATTATATTGAAGTCTGAAAAAATATTAATGTATATCTTGTTCAAATTATTTATGAAAAATTTATTTTATATTTAAAATCTTAAAAATATTTATTTAAAAAAAACAAAAATTCATAATTAAAAGAATAAAGATATATAAAAAGAAAAAGAAGAATATATAAATCATAAGAAAAAATAAATATTGCGGAAATTTATTTAATATATAAAGAATTATTACGTAACAATTATAATTAGTGCAATTTCTTCAAATATATAAATATATTAAAATATGTAATTAATATCCATCAAAAATGATCAAATTATGATAAAAAATATTAATATATCGTGCAATATCAAACAATTTAAATTTTTCAAGGAGATATTTTATATGAATATGAAGATTTCTAATTTTATCATTTTCCTTGTGTTGTGCATTTCAATGGGGAAGATAGGCATACTTCATGAAAGAATATTTTGCATTCTTGTTCATCATACTACAGTATTTGTACCGCGCATCATAATGCCGTGACGCAAATTGTATACATTAGCCTTGCTTTTATCACTGAATTATTCTGACATCGAGACTGTTATTGAATTATATGAATTATTGAAGAAAATAATATGTTACCGTTTAATGATCGTTGAAATATTATATATATACATGATATATACATGTGATTTTTGCATCGGAGATATCATAATTAAATATTGAAACGAATTTTTAAAGTAGATACAAATCAGAAAAATTACGATCAGTTCGAAAAACCATGGCTAAAAAGTCTCAAGAAATGAAGGAATGGAATATTGCTAGAATGGGAATTTCTTTGCTTTTAAATAATAAAACGGAGGAAGCAGAAGCTTTATTTATCAAACATCCACATAGTTTCCATATAAAAGCAGGTCGCTGCTTTGTTTTGTTCATAGTATGTGAATGAAATTATTCCATTTTATTAAAAATTAATAAAAAAATTTTTTGTGATAATTTTATTTAAGTAAAATTATTTATTATTTGCATTTAAAAGTGAAGTATATACATATATTAATTTATTTTAAGAATATTTTATTAAGTTATTTTGAAAATATATAATATTATTGACATAAAAATACCTTGAATATTGTATTGCATGACATTTTTGCATGTTTGCATGTTTTTATTGACCACAAATCTATTTGAAGAAATATCTTAATAATAACTTACAATGTTTTAATTGTGAAAATATATAAGAATAATGATTGAATAAAT